AGAGAGGTCTGATTTATAGAACGGGCCCGATCAGATCAGTTGGAGATCCCCTCTTGTCTAACCTGACAGGGACATACAATCATAGTAAATCAGACGAAGGAGACTAATCTGCAGCAATGGAGATTTCGAGGGGTGCAGATGGTCGCCGAGTCAGACGCGGGGCAGTATGTGCTCACATGCGGTAAGGCCAGTCAAGATCCCCTTGAAAGGAATGCCCTTGCTGTCCGTATGTCCCCCAAATCCAGCACAGCAAAGCAATGCACTGGCGGCAGCAGATCTGGGCCCAAAAGGTCCTGTCCCGTTGGGCCTGGTCCCACTGGGTCCCGAGTGGTCCCAAGTAGGCCGTGGCCCAGGACCAACGTGATAGGGGTGCCAAGTCGGTCCCAAACTGCCTCTACCGTACTGAAAAGGAAAAGACAACTTTCAGCAAGAACTTACTTCTACAGCCGTTCAGAAATTAAAAGACAATGCACCGTAGAAAGATATGTCATTTAGAGTAGATACATCATCCATCCATCCATCAGGTGAGAAAGCAATCCACAAGCTCACACACACAACCAAGACCGCAGAGAAGAGGAAGAGAACCCAGCACACCCCCAACATGCCATGAAGCACCAAGCAACCTCCCACGGGCTTTCCCAGGTCACACGGCACTTACCTGTGAGGCCTGACCTCCAAAGATGGATTACGAGTCACTCCCCTCTCATATAAGTCCTCCTGACCCCTAGCTACCACTACACGAAGTGTCCTAGCATGACTAAGAGGGCCTTCCTACACCCTGTTGCAAAGTCGGATCCCCCGTCAATGCCTGAAGACCAAAGTACCAACTTGCAGCAATCCGATGCAGATATGGCAGCCTCCGATCAAGTCTCCCTCTTGAGGGGAAGCCCAAAAGTCACTCGGTGTCTTCCTGAAGTCCAGATTCCAGGTGCGAGTACCTCTCACTCTCTACTCCCTCTCGCTTACTCCAAACAGCCTCCTTTGTGTCTCGCCACCCCATACATTCATTCAAGCAACCTGGTTGGGTCCAATGTCGACCCTACATGACCTAACCAGGTGGGGGCAGCATCCCCGTACCTCGCTGCCCCACTTAACCCTAACTTCCAACCTTAATCCGAGATTAGGTTAGCACTAACCTAATTCGGAATTAGGGTTAGGGTGACTAACACCTCTCGCCAGCAAGTAAGTCCACTCCGATACCAATTGTTACGATCCTGGTCACTTCCCAAGTGCAAATTCACAATGAAAGACAATGCCACCCAATTGCGAAAGAAATGAAAGCGCTTGCAAAGAGATAAAGACCAGAGGAGAGGTAAAGAAGAAGAAGAAGAAGAAGAAGAAGAAGAAGAAGAAGAAGAAGAAGAAGTATACCAGCAAGACCAATGACAATTCCCCCTTCTCTCTCCACCTTCCTCCTTCCTCCTTCTCTTCACCAATCTTATTCTTCTCTCAATAATAATAATAATAACAATGAATGGATGAACCAGAATCAATGTCCGAAGTTCCCCCTTACTGCTGACTCAACTCACAACAACAACAACAACAACAAGTCCACCACAGCTATATCTTCCCTCCTTCAACCTCCTCTCTCATTCATAGGCCATGGCGGACTACTGGGTGGCAGCTATGGTGCTGCCCTGATGTCCAGAAGACAACCCAAAGCAGCTATGTCGCTGCTTGACTTGGTCCGCTATGCCTGACTCTGCCTCGAGCTGCCCTTGTGCAGCGCTACCCCAACTGGGGCCTTCCAGATGCAGCGCCCAACAAGGTGATGAAGACGGTGTCCACCATAGCCAGGTAAAAGCCCTACCACTCTCYTACCATGCCCCCTTCTTCCTCCTCCTCAAGCTGGGGTGCTCGCCATAGCCAGGCTGAGCCCCAGCGGACCTTCACCTCCAAGCAGCGCTGCTTCAGTCCAGCGCTGCACTCCAGCAGCATGTCGCCAATCCTTGCATACCGCAAATGAGGAAGAGCTCACCGCTCTTCCTGAAGATATAGCGGCCCACTGGCCTCCTGGGCGGTGACTTCCTAGGCCAAGCGGCCCACTGGCCTCCTGGGCGGTGACTTCCTAGGCCAAGCGGCCTCCCAGCAACCGGTACCTCCTCCCTTTTGGAGGGAAACATCATTGCAGGCTCTGTTATTGTCCGCACAGGCCCTAGACCCGGGCTACTTGGACTGGTACCGGCCTACCTCTAACCTACCGCTACTGGGCCTCTAAAAATGCCAACTTTTTGTCTTCTTCTACTCGGCCTACCTGCTACTTGAGTGTTTTTCCCCAGCTGCTCTAAGTGTCGTGGGCCTACTCCCCGCCACCGGCGTGTTTACCCCCCTGCAACCCTTCAAAGTCACGGCCATAGGTAACTACCGGCCCGGTGGGCCTTGCAACCAACAAGTACCCTTGCGGGTCACACACACATACCCAACCAGCAAGCACTCAGACAGGCATGCAACCCAGCAGGCACGCACACACACACAACCGGCAAGCACTCAGACAGGCATGCAAACCAGCAGGCACGCATACACACAGACTTGGGACCACAGCAGAATGCGGGAATCACAGCAAGGCATTCATTCCATTGGCAAATCCCAGAAATCAGCAGTGTTCCCAGTCTGTGTTTTTGGCGGGTCATTACAAAGGGATGTTTTCTTGGTTCCATTGTGCTATCTGCTCTTGCTTTGACTACTTGGACTTCAGCGTGATTTTGCGATTTGGATTTCTGTTCTTCGTCCACATTCATGTTCCTTTCAGATGACACACATAAATGATAAATCGAGAAATAGTCCCGAGAAGGGCCCAAATTTTAAAATATATATAAAGAAGAAGAAGAAGAAGAAGAAGAACCAGAAGTACCTTGTCCTGTACCTGCCTTGTGGCTGAATAGTGAACATATGTGACAGTTTATAAACAGATCATGAATTTGAACCTTGGAGGATACAAAAACGTTAGCACCTGAACCACCAGTACGTTTCCGAGCCATTTTTTCAAAGTCGCGGCGTGCATGCAGCTGCACCTTTGTGGCTCGGCCTCTGGAGCAAAAAGGAGGCCCGCGCCGGTTCGTTTTTTTTGCCGCACAGGGCGTTTCCGACACAGGAGAAAAGTGTCTCCGAAGAACTGGTGGTTTAAGAGCTAACCCCTTTCAAAAAAAGAAAAAAAGAATGCACCTTGGCCGCTCAATCTTTTTATATATCATGCACCTTGGCGTCTTTATGTCCAGCTGACTCTGGCAGGAGAACATGTTGAATTTCGAACTGGATTTAGGGCAGTGTTGTCCTTTTACCACCAATAAATTGATACCTTCGCCAGATTATGACGCTAAGAGACTTGTATTCATTATTAATTTATCTTCATTCTTCATTATCCCTCAACAATGACAGCTGGACAAGGATCGTTGTCAGTCATGAGACAAGGACATGTTGGGTTCTTGCCACTCTTGGGCATCAGAAGCACCTGCCTTCTCCTGACCAGGGCAGGGCATACACAAGCAGTATCAGCAAGCAGAGGGGGTCAGCCTTTTTTTTTTTCTTTTTTTTTTTTAACTGCCCGTTTGGGAGCTAGGGGTGCTGGTATAAGCAGACGCCTCTATCTCCCCCGGGGAGGCTCCGTCTATTGGTGGGGAGCAACACCTACTGGAAAACGGGTCCAGCGTCCCTTAACAAAAGCCATTGATTTCCTTCTGAAGATTTCCTCATCTTCTGCCAGCATTGATTGCCCTGAGAACAGGGGATTAACTGAGCAAGAAGACGAGTAGCCAGAGAGGGCAGAAGAGGGGGCCTCTTCAGCCTTGCTGCTGGGCGCCCGAAATGCATGACGACCAAGCCCCCGTCCCCTCTTTCAGGTACAGCAAATTAATCCTCTGCAACTCAATAATAACTATGCAGATTATGCACCCCCCACTCACTCTGCCCATAACAGACTATGGGGCGGGAGGGGGTCAGGAGCTCCGAGGGGAAAAGTATCTGAGAAAAGTTGTTGAGAGATACACACCCTATCCCAAATAACTCTATCCCAACTGTCCCAAGTGTCATCGCTCTCCCTCCCCAGTTGCCTTGGTCCCGCTTGTATGGAGAGGAAAAGAGCTGGACTTGCTGCTGCTTGAAACCTGGAACCAGATATCTGCTATCTTACCCTGGTTCCTCCCACCCCTGCCTTTGAGGTACCCCTTCTATTGACACTGCTGGCTTACTCATACCACCCCATACCATTGCATGTCCACCATGGTCCGCTGATGGGGGGGAAAGGGGTCAGGAAAGTCCGAGGGAGGCCGCAACGGAATTCTGGGATCCACCATTGTCCAATCCCTGAAACAGATATGATAATCTCTCTTGATCGTCCCTGGATTACCGTCATCGATGCCTTGATTACCGTCCTGGGTGCAGCTGCCGTCCCACACGATGCAGGCCTCCGTTCTCATTGCCCAGCCAGTCCCCTGAAAATTGTTGGATTTTTTGTTTTATGTCTTTTTGTGTCTGAAACCGATCCAGCTGACTTTTAACTTTCTGCCATTGTGCCATAAGATCCTGGTGTGCATATTGTTTGACCATGTCCGTCATTTCCTCCCCGGCTATACGGACCCCTTCCATGGCATGTATGCAGCGTCTCCTCCAGATGGCCCACAGGACGGCTCTCCTCCCTATCTTGAACATGTTATTTTCAAAGGAACTATCTAAGGGGGAGGTCCATGTTTTGCATAGAATCGCCCTCCAGTCCCATGGCCAGGTAGAGCCCGTACCCAGAAGGTTCCAGATTCTGTCCCACCAACGCCATGTAAGGACAGCCCCCGGACACTGTAGAAATATATGTTCAATTGTTTCCGGGATCTTGCGGGTATACCCTATGCATTATTCTTGCCGTCATCATCATCACCATCATCGTCATCATTGTCATCATCGTCGTCATCGTCATCATCGTCACTAATGTCATAATTATCATTGTCAATTTGTCATCATCATCATCAGCAGCAGCAGCTGCAGCAGGAGAAGCAACTGTTTCCCGTGATCCAGTGTTCAGTTTATGTATCCATCTGACTTCCCGGTGGAAAAGGGACCGGACTGAAAATACTCCTCAGAATGCACATGAAGCCACGGCCATAAGGACCTCTTTTTTTTCCGAAGAGAAAAAAAAGGAGCATTTTGAAAGTGCAAGTGAGACTCTTTGGTTGTACTGCCACATGCAGCATACCAAAGAGTCTCACTGGCACTTTCTAAATCCTCCTTTTGTTTTTCAGAAATGCTGGCACTGCAGCATATTAACCATGTGTGCATTAGGGTGAGAGCGGATGATTGATCCTTTGAATTAGGAGTTGATGATTTGGACCTCTCGATCTCGCACAGCACGCAAAAAGGTGCAAATGATAAGTGGGAGATAGTCTGACACAGACAGAAGGGAAGACAGCAAATTTAGCAAAGCATATTCCAACACACTGGCCAGGCAGCAGCAAAAACAAACAATAGAAGCCCTTCGTCCACATTCTCATCACTGTTGTCACCTTTGGCCCCAAGCTCCTCCTCTTCCTCCTCATCCTACTCCTCCACTTTCTCCTCCTCCTCCTCGCTGTCCTCCTCTTTTCTTCACATTCCTTATCATCATCACCACCATCACCGCCACCACCAGTATTGCCAGCAGTGATGACAGCAGCAGTGGCATGACAGCAGCAGCAGCAGCAGTAATAGCAGTAGCAGGAACGGCAGCAGCAGGAGCAACAGTCGCATCAGCAGCAACAACAGTGATAGCAGTAGCGCCAGTGGCAGCAGCAGCAGTGGTACTGCCAAAAACGTTTCAGAAGCCGAACAATAATGAGCTTACTGACCTAAACTGCAACGGTGGATCAACTTCCTGGCAATGTCCATGGCATCTTCCTCCGGCAAAAACCCATTCCTCATCAAGGCTTGTATGAAGGTGTGATGGGCCTCACCCAAGGACCCCATGATGGCCTTCGCGAAAAAAGCCCAGCCAGCTGAGAGCCTTCTATTGCAGTGGCCCTTACAGTGCCACTTCCTCAGATTGATAGAAACCGAAGTTGCTTGGTCCTCCTGTTGCCATTTGCAAACACCTCTTGCTGCTGCAAGGAATATGAGTGGGAACGATCTACAGAAAGCCAAGTTGCGAAATCACACAAATGTTCAAGTAGTCGTGTACAAGCAGAGAGCACAAATGCACCCAGATTCCATCCAAATAAAAGCAATACAATGAAGTCATGAGCCAATGTTCAAGCCCTCAGGCCACACCCACACAGTATCCAATGTCGATCCTCTCTGTCTGGCGCCCAGCGCCCAGCCTACACTACGTGCCTATCCTATCTACATCAGCATTCACGCAACAGGCTCACTTCGACTCTTGAAGACCAATGTACACGACGTCAACACCATAGCCGACCTGGTATGTATCTCGTCTCCCCTCATCAGACCCGGACCACCCACACTCGCCTCCTTCCTGAGGACCACCGATCGCCCTCCTACCCCCTAGCGCCCTGCAGCCGCCTATGGCTGCTAGCGCTCCGCTGCGCCCGCACACGCCCTGACCGCTAACGCAGCATGCAGAGTCTCGCGCAGCAACGCAGCAGCATGACCGCATTGCCTGCGTGGGCCAGAATGCCGGACCCTGGCTTCCCTCTTCCCTGTATGGAAGTGGCAGCCTCTGTTTCGCTGCTTGTGGCCTAGCTGGGAAGCTTCCAGTAGCTTTCGGTCCGGCCCCAGTGCCTGCCCCCAGGCCCAGTGCTACAGTTGAGGGTCGGGGCCCTTTACAGTTCGGCACGGCCTGAGTTTCCAAACTTGGTCCGTTTGCTGCATTTGCACAGGACCCGAGGTATGTATGTCGACAATGCTGCTTTTACGTAGGCCTGCAGCCACTTTATCGCCCTGCATTGTGTGTATGTGCCCAGGCGCAACTACCCAGGCCGGGCCCAACTGTACGACACAGCTTAGGGAGGCTCACGCTTCCATTCAACCAACTGGCGTGCTGCAACAGCCTGAGTACCCACATAAGAGAATGTCGAATTTTGGCCTCTAGTGAATATTCAGGCCCGCCTTCACTTAGGGCGGGCACTTGGCCTGCTGAGGGCCTCTGCCCAGAACATGTGCATGTTTTACAAGGGCCCCGCGAGGGCTCCTTCCTCGCATTCCATCCCCCTCCGCTGAGATGCTTCATGCTGGTGCTTTCCCCTTCAATTTTCTTTCATACTCTGCCACGATCTGAGGAGCTGTCTTGACTAGTTCCTCTCTTGTGAACCATCGGTCTTCCTTTGGATCCGTGTGATGCCTGAACCGTACCATGTGCTCCCTCACAGGTTTAGGCGGTCTTCCTTGGCCAGCTGGCTTGGGAACAGGCATGTCTCTGTGTTCCAGAATATCGTCGACATCCACGTGACCATCCATGGTTGGGGGCAGCATAGATCTCCTTGATGGGAATTGTTCAGTCTCAGCGAAAGGTGCAAGCTTTGAGGCGTGAAACACAGGGTAGGTGCGTAGGTGACCAGGGATTCGAATCACGTACGAGGGACCATCCAAATCACTACCCACAATGTCTAAGACTTCCCAGGGACCGAAATACTGAGGCATTAGTTTTTTAGAGATGCCGAATTCCTGTCCCAACTCAATAGCCTTGACCCAGACACGTTCCCCTACCTGAAATGTGGACTCTCGGCGATGCTTGTTCCCAGAAGCAATCATTGCTTCTTGAGATTTCTTGATGTGTTCGACAGTCTGCTGCAACAGCTTCTCATACTGGACACCAGATTCAATGGTTCCAGGGGTTGCAGCAGTTCGATTTTCAGGTAGGACGAAGTATAAAGCAGATCTAGGCTTCCACCCCAAATGCAGCTGATTAGGACTGACACCGGTGGTGCTATGTACAGCATTATTGTACAGACTGGCGATGACAGGTAATGTCTCATCCCAGTCATCCTGGATGGGCTTGATATAGTGCCTCCGCAGATGCTGCACCACACGGTTCATCTGTTCAGCCTGCCCATTGTCTTCGGGATGATTCCCAGAAGTCATTTGGAGCTGGCTGCCCATCTGTTCAGCGGCCTTTTTCCACATCTCGTTGGTGAACCGGACATCTCTATCACTAACAATCGTCTTTGGCAGACCAACGTCACGCACCCAGTTATCCATGAATAACTTGATGACGTGCTCAGTCCTGGCAGTCTCTGGCATGGCGATTAGTCTAGCATATTTAGTGAACCTATCAACTATGACAAAGATATGCCTCTTGCCGCTCTTGCTGGTCACGAGGGTATCCATGAAGTCCACGGAAACACTCTGTCCCGGACCAGCAGGAATGGGTAAAGGCTTTAATAACCCAAGCGGAGCTTGAGTCCGCGGCTTACCCCATTGACAGACATGGCAAGTCTGAACATAGGTCTTCGCATCGTCAAGCATGTTAGGCCACCAGAATCGTTGTACCAGGTTAGCACTAGTTGCAAGGAAGATGAGCGATAGCGAATTTCAGAAATCAAACAGCATCATACACATAAGACCAGATAATCGTGACCTCGAACCAACAGCAGAATTGCATCACGAGTTTCACCAAATAAGAACACACCAAGAGCTCATAATTGACAATGCTGGAATAGTCTCTTCATCATCATCAATGAAGAACCAATGTTGATATCCTATCTGGCGCTCAGCGCCCGGACTACAGATGGCAGATCCTATCTAGCCTAGACTCAATGTCGAAGATGACGACAACAACTCTCCTGAAGTACGAGCAGATAGCGGCCAATGCCGCACGCTTCCAGCACCAGGTATGTCTCTCGCTTCACTCACAACCCCGTTCCCCAACACACAGATGCCACATGCACCCAAGGACCACCCTGCGCCACACCCAGCTCACAACAGCACAGCTCGGCTATGGCTGCCTACTCGTCCCTGCTCGCCCGTGAGCGTGTGAGCGCTAGCCAGCTTCAGCGCTTGCGTAGCATGCAGCCAACACCCGAATGTCCAATGCGGAGGCAGGCCCTTTGCTATATGGAAGTGGCCTGTCTGCCTTCTGTCCCAGGCTGCGTTGGGCCTTTCCCAAGAAGCTTCCGGTAGGCCCCGGTAGACTGAGGCCCAGACCAAAACAAATTGGCCCAGGGCTGCGGACAGTTACCTGTGCCCAACTGCTCGCTACCTGAGTTGGGCCTATGTTGCGAATCTCGCCCAGGGCCTGACTCAGATGCATTTGATAAAGGAAGCCAAGGCCTGGGCACGTCCAACCAACTGGTGCAGCGCAACTGCCTGAATAGGCCTCTGAGGGTCTGTCCGGCCTGCCTTCACTTAGGGCGGCCGACGCTATTCCAAATAGGGCCCAATGGGGCTTATTGAGGCCTTGTGCCTTGCATTCCCTCCTCCATACTTCGCTAGTCCTCTGAGAAGTCCAGTCTTCGATAATCTGGCGCTTTCCTAAGGACTTCTCATAGTGGGCGACTACCTGTGGAGCGGTTTGCATCAGTTCCTCCCTTGTGAACCATCTGTCCTCCTTTGGATTAGTGTGATGTCTGAACCGACTACCTGAGTTGGGCCTATGTTGCGAATCTCGCCCTGGGCCTGAATCAGATGCATTTGATCAAGGAAGCCAAGGCCTGGGCGCGTCCAACCAACTGGTGCAGTAGTCCAAAATAGGCCTCTGAGGGTCTGTCCGGCCTGCCTTCACTTAGGGTGGTCAACGCTGTTCCAAATAGGGCCCAATGGGGCTTATTGAGGTCTTATGCCTCGCATTCCCTCCTCCATACTTCGCTAGTCCTCTGAGAAGTCCAGTCTTCGATAATCTAGCGCTTTCCTTTCCGTAAGGACTTCTCATAGTCGGCGACTACCTGTGGAGCGGTCTGCATCAGTTCCTCCCTTGTGAACCATCTGTACTCCTTTGGATCAGTGTGATGTCTGAACCGAACTCGATACTACAGCTTCGGTTTCAGAGGACGTTCTCTGCCTGTTAGTCTTGGAACTGGCATCTCCCAGTGGTCAACAATATCATCGATGTCGACCTCTCCATCCATGGTTGGGGGCAGCATTGAGCAACGAGATGGAAACTGATCTGTTTCTTTAAAAGGTGCAAGCTTTGAGGAGTGGAAAACAGGGTAAGTGCGTAAGTGACCAGGGATGCGGACAACATAAGACGACCCATCTGGTTCATTCCCAACAACATCTAGAATCTCCCATGGTCCAAAGTACTGTGGCATGAGCTTGCGGGAGATCCCGTGCTCCTGTCCCAGTTCCGAGGACTTGACCCAGATTCTCTCTCCTACCTGAAACGTGGATGGACGGCGGTGTTTGTTCTCAGATTCTATCATCGTCGTCTGTGTCTTGTGCATCTGCTCAACAGCCTGTTGCATTAGCTGCTCATATCGATAAGCGAACTCTGAAATTCCTGGTGCAGCAGGGGGCTGGTTCTCAGGTAGTAAGAAATCCAAGGGCAGTCTAGGTTTAAAGGTTAATAGCAGACTATTCGGGCTCATGCCCGTTGCGCTGTGGACCGCGTTGTTATACAGGCTGGCAGTGAGAGCAAGTTTCTCATCCCAGTCTACCTGATTTGGCTTGATGTAATGCCTCAGCAGGTGTTGTACAACGCGGTTCAACTATTCTGCTTGTCCATTCGCCTCGGGATGGTTTCCTGATGTCATATGCAGTTGCGTTCCCCTGTTCTGCAGCTGCGGCTTTCCACAGTTCACTTGTGAATCGCACATCACGGTCACTAACTATAGTCTTTGGCAATCCAAAATCTCTAACCCAGTTCTCTTTGAACAGCTTAATCACATGCTCAGTCTTCGCTGTCTCCAGAATTGCAACTAACCTAGCGTACTTACTAAACCTATCCACGATAACAAAGATGTGTCTCATTCCGCTCTTGCTGGTTATCAGCGTATCCATGAAGTCCATGGACAGGCTCTCACCAGGCCTTTTCGGAATCAGAAGGGGCTTGAGGAGCCCAAGAGGGGCCTGTGTACGGGGCTTGTCTCTCTGACAAACCTGACAAGTCTCCACGTACAGCTTAGCATCTCTGATCATCGTGGGCCACCAGAACCGCTGCAACAAATTGGCTGCAGTCTTCTTAAAACCAAAATGGTTGGTGGCGTCATGACACTCTCCTAAAAATAAACTACTTAAAGACTCTCTATCTGGTACACACAGACGTTTATTCCCTTCCTTCTCAAGGAACAGCAGTCCGTTGACCAACTCAAACTCGGCAGAAGTCACCTTGTCCTTCGCCTCGAGTCTGCGTATAATCTCCGATATAAACCGGTCCTCGCGATAGGCTTCCACCAAAGAGCAAGTAACATCGTTTGTAAGATCGAACTCAGTAATCAGCGCACCTGAGAAATCAGGTCTACGCGACAAGGCATCAGCAACCTTGTTGTACTCCCCTTTCAAATACTGCGGGTCAAAGTCATACTGCTCAATGACTTCGATCCAACGCTTGAGAGCGTCAGAGAGCACTGGCTGAGTTCTCATCCATATCAGGGTCTGATGATGAGTCCTGAGGATGACGAACCTCCCAAGGAGATAGTGCCTCCAATGGGTCAGAGCCTTATAAACCGCATAGAGTTCCTTCTCATAGGTGGATTTGGCCAACTTCTGAGACGACATTTTCTTGGACATGTACTCCATTGGCCTCAACTTCTTCCCCTCCTGCTGTGCAAGTACGGCGCCTATGCCAAACTGGCTAGCATCCATAGTTACTATAAATGGCTTGTCAGGATCAGGAAGTTTCAAGACCTCATGATGCGTCAACGCATGCTTCAAATGTCTGAAAGCAGCCTCGCATCTGTCTGTCCACTCCCATGGGGTGTCAAGGCGAGTCAGGTCAGTCAAAGGGGCGACAACTATACTATAGTTCTTCACGAAGTTGCGATAGTAGCCGGTCATCCCTAAGAAAGACCTCATCTCAGTCACAGACTGAGGACGCGGCCAGTCATGAATGTTGGCCACCTTCGCGTCATCGGGCTTTAATCCCTCCGCGGAAATCTCATGACCCAAATACAAGACACGGGTGCGGCCAAACTCGCACTTCTCACCGTTGATCTTGAACTTGTGTTGTCGCAGAAGACTAAGGACTTTGTCCAAGTGCGCAACGTGCTCCTCGACAGTCTTACTAAAAATAAGTATGTCATCGAGGTACACGATGACAAACTTATCCAAGTAGTCATGAATATCCATTTCATAGCGTGTTGAAAGGTGCCAGGAGCATTGCAAAGGCCGAAAGGCATCACCACAAACTCGTACAGACCGTACCTAGTCTGAAAAGCGGTTTTGTGTTGATCCTCGGGCCGGATTGCAATTTGATGGTACCTGGGCTTCATATCTATCTTACTGAAGTACCGACACCCTTGCACTCTATCTAGCAAGTCATCGATGCGCGGTAGGGGCTCTCTGTTCTTTACAGTGATGGCATTGAGGCCCCTGTAATCAATGCACATCCTAAGTGTTCCTTCCTTCTTCTTGGGTACAAATAGGACTGGAGACCCATAAGGAGAAACACTCGGCCGGATCCAACCCTTCTCTACGAGTTCCTTGAGTTGCCAGCGAAGCTCATCAAGCTCGCCTGGAGACATCCGATAGATTCTACCCTTTCGGATGCTAGACCCTGGGATAATCTCTATCGCGTGGACGACCTCCCTCTCAAAAACCCCTTTCGGCTCTTCAAATAGATCAGGGTACTTAGCGACTACTCCCTCTATCTCCGGCGGCATTTTCACCGGCTCGCCCGCAGAAGAGACATAAACTAGATACATGCCCTCCTCCTGATTTTGCTTATAATAATTATAAAACGCGGCCGCACACATGCATCCATAGGACTTGAGCAGACTACTAGCTTTGAACTTATGTAATCTGACAGTCCCTCCACCTGACAAAGTGTGTTTGACCACTTTTCGGTCCCAATCAAACTGGGGTTGTGCCACAGAGAGGTAGTACATACCTAACAACATATCCATGGGGAGATCATCACTCACTAGGAACGAAACATGATGTCTCAATTCCCCTCCCGCGTACGGGAAACAACACTCAACACTCTGGAGGTAGTCATTAACGAACATGCGTTGTTTGTTGGCGCAGGCCCACTCCGCAGGTCGACTCGGGCGCTGCACTTGCCCCTCTAAACGCAGCCTCTCAACGCACGCGCGTCTGATAAAGTTCCTAGTCGAGCAAGTGTCATAATAGGCCCCGGCCTTGCGGCCGCCAATGAGCACCTCGCTGACAAACATCTCACCCTTAGGGGCTTTGACTAGTGTCGTCCAAGAAGCTCGCGGGTCTGATCTAGACCACTCCTCCTCCAACTCCTTTAAGGACTCAAACACATTCATCAAACAGAGGCTCGATTGGTCTGGACGTGTTTGCAGGACGACAATGGAGTCAATAGTTTGGGCCATCTCTCGAGATGGTAAGGGTGTATCCACCACCTCGACCCTAGCAGGAACAACTACTATTCCTACTGGCCCGACGTGTTTCCCGGAGCAGTGCCTGAAGTACTGGCAACATTGCTACCGACGGGAGTGGAGGATCCCAACGCCTGCCCCATCGTAGGTGGGATCTTCTCTGTCACCTTCTTATTGTGGCACTTGAATTGGTTGTGGCCATACTGTCCACAACGAATACAGGTCTGCCGGGTGTACCTATCTCTCACACGTCCTCAGTGAGACCCGCTTTCTCCCATGGAGGAGCATTGGGGTCAACTCGACTCTTTGACCGGGAACCCCCACGGCATCTACCGGTCGCCTTACCTTTATGAGCTACGACAACGACTACTCCACCCCCTGAAGCTTCTACGCTGCCAGCCTCTGAACCCACTCCATCCTGGAATTGTCATCCAACTCGATGGTTGAACATCGACAAACATAATGGGACCCTTCGCCTTCCAGTTGGGAGGCAGTGTTTTCTTCCTACCATCCGTTGTGGGATTATGTCCATGCCCTATCTTCGCCTCAAGGTCTAGGGCCTTCTTGCTGAACGAGGGGAAGTTGTGCACATTGACGTTGGCCTCACCTGCCAACTGATTCCTAGGAGGCATAGGAAAGCATCTCAGGTAGGAGGTAAGTAAGACCTGGGGGTCATAGCGCATCCCAGGGACACAGATCAGACGCTCTACAGCGTCAGTGGCCTCCCTAACTGACTTGAATTGCCTCGTGTGCAGTGTCAGGATCGCGTCAGTGGCTTTTTGAGCCTCCTGAGGATCATGCCACCTGTCTTTCGTACCCTTGTAACTACACTAAACCACTCAACCATCTTGTTGCACTACCCTCTAGGTAGGATGCGGCCACAAGCACTTCCTCATGCGGTAAGGTAAGTTTACACTTGACATAGACCGGCACTGCCCTCAACCAAGTGTCGAGGTCTTCGCCCCTCTTATCCCCGGTAAAGGGTTTCGGAGCGGCGATGGTCGTCTTCGGTACCCACTGACTTTGTCCCGGTCCTTGCATTACACTGGGTTGTGGACCCTGTGATACAGGCTGCTACACTAGTTGTAGGGGCTGTGTACCCTGCGGCTGTACAGGCTGCGAGACAGCAGGTTGCGTTGTAACTGCAATCTGCAACGGTGGTTGGGAATACACTGGTTGTACAGGAACCTGTAAATTAGGACCTGCTGAGAACCCGCCTGTCAAGGGCATACCCAGGGAAACGGTCTGGACCAATGCTGGAGTTGTATATGGGGATACCCCAGTCACCGGTGGGACAAAAGGAGGAGGATGTACAACGGGCCAGGCACCGAGCCCAAACGGTGATGGTGCCGCCTGCATTTGCCCGACTAACACAACCAGACTCTGTTGGATGTCCTGTAAGACCTCCATTTGGTGATCTTCCATTTCTACTACACTCAACAAGACCAAACCTATGGTTCTCACATCATTCTCCATCTCTACAGGGTCCATTTCCTCTAACTCACTAACGTCCGCTTTTCTCCGCTGCATCCTGGCTCTTCTTCTAATCATTTTCTCTTTCTCCGCTTTAATCTCTCCTAAAGCCTTTTGTAGTTGTGCCTCTTGCAGGGCAGCCTGCTGTATGGCGATATCCTCGGGTGACAACACCAATGGCTGGCTTGCCATAACGCCAGTAGACTGACTCTGGGTTTGTGCGACCATTGACCCTGCAGATCCTTAACTGTTAGCCTGGGAACTCTGCTGCGCAGAAGTGGCCATGGTGGCTGAAGTTGCGGCTTCGCTTACGAGCGCCCTGCTAGCCTCTGCTGCTCTAGCTCTCCTCTGCTGTTGCTGTCTCTCCCTACGCTGGCGGAACAGATATTTGTCACCCTCTGGTCCTAAAGCCAAGTGGGCAATCGGTCGTCTAGCCGATCACAAGAGCCGGTCGTCCGGTTGTGGAATCTCCCTGTCACTCATAAGCTACAACACTGTACAGTACCTGCACTAGGACACTCAATCGATGCCTACCTCAGTGACATGTTCAGACCGATTTATAAATAATCGGCGGCTAGGTCAGAGACTATACATTCGGGTCCAACAGGTAAGTTCAGATTCCTACAAACGCAAACTATTGCACTTTGATTATTCCGCAAACAGAAAACACAAGGAACATAAAACAGTTCTAACTAGTGTTGTCTGTCAGATGTTAATGACAGCATAATTAATCAAAATCAAAATAGAATCGTTTGTTTGGTCTGTTCACAAGATGGTATCTTACTCGAAATTATCACCTGGAATCTACCCCTTCCCCAATTCCCCTTGATTGTCACTTGACGTTAGCGTCCCTAAGCAACCGGTTTGGCGTGCGTGACTAAAGGTGTGCAACGACCCACCCCTGTGCCCCGAGTAGCTGCTGAGCTGGCCAGCCCTGCACTGTATTTATCCTCGCGTGCAGCGAGCCTTACACCAATTGGCTGATCCAGAGGCAATTTAACGACCGCCCCCAAGTGTCATCAGGAATTATTTTACGTCGCAGCAGGACGACGATCATAGCCAATGGTTTCCCCAACCGGTGTTTATTTATAGACGCCCGGTACTCGTCTCTCCCATAGGGCTGGCCTGTCCTTCAGTACCCCTTCTATGAGCGCAGCAAGCAGACAAGGACAAAGCAGCAAAGCATGTGTGCTCTACTCCCGGTGGGTTGGCATGGTGACCGTGACCCAGTGCTCCGTCCAGGGCCCTTTAGAAAGCACCGCCCTCTCCTTCCAGATGCTCCACGTAAACAATGCCGACTCTCAAGGTTCAGCGCACACGACACCTCACATGAGAGGATTCTCAAGAAGGAACTCACAACCTCACGGTAAGAAGTGATGAAGAGGGTAGATAAGGTTAAGAGCAACGTACCTCATTATAACTGCTCCCAACCACAGATATTCTCACCAGATGACCTGATGGCGATTGCGATGAACAGTCACTGCATCGGCATAACCAACATTATCTCGCCGTTCCACCTCAGCATCAATCAACCACCAGATAGTTCTCATCACACAACGAACACCCAATATACACACCGTAGCCTTCCTGGCGATTCCCCTCTCCTCTTGGGTCGCCACACCTTGTCTCCGCCCTCCTCACTACACACCGCCTACGGCCTCACTCACCAAGTAGACCGCATGTATTTACCGCATAGCCAGAAGACAAGCGCCAGATGAGTGCAACGTACCACAACTCCGATACCAAATTGCAAGGAAGATAGCGAATTTCAGAAATCAAACAGCATCATACACATAAGACCAGATAGTCGTGACCTCGAACCAACAACAGAATTGCATCACGAGTTTCACCAAATAAGAACACACCAAGAGCTCATAATTGACAATGCTGGAATAGTCTCTTCATCATCATCAATGAAGAACNATAAGAACACACCAAGAGCTCATAATTGACAATGCTGGAATAGTCTCTTCATCATCATCAATGAAGAACCAATGTTGATATCCTATCTGGCGCTCGGCGCCTRGACTACAAATGGCAGATCCTATCTAGCCTAGACTACAATGTCGAAGATGACGACAACAACTCTCCTGAAGTACGAGCAGATAGCGGCCAATGCCGCACGCTTCCAGCACCAGGTATGTCTCTCGTTTCACTCACAACCCCGTTCCCCAACACACAAATGCCACATGCACCCAAGGACCACCCTGCGCCACACCCAACTCACAGCAGCGCAGCTCGGCTATGGCTGCCTGCTCCTCCCTGCTCGCCCATGAGCGCGTGAGCGCTAGCCAGCTTCAGCACAGTACCGCTTGCGCAGCATGCAGCTAGCACCCGAATGCCCAATGTGGAGGCAGGCCCTTTGCTATATGAAAGTGGCCTGCCTGCCTTCTATCCCAGGCTGCGCTGGGCCTTTCCCAAGAAGCTTCCGGTAGGCCCCGGTAGACTGAGGCCCAGACCAAAACAAATTGGCCCAAGGCTGCGGACAGTTACCTGTGCCCAACTGCTCGCTACCTGAGTTGGGCCTATGTTGCGAATCTCGCCCAGGGCCTGATTCAGATGCATTTGATAAAGGAAGCCAGGGCCTGGGCGTGTCCAGCCAACTGGCGCAGCGCAACTGCCTGAATTTCCCTAGTTGCGAAGTAGTCCAAAATAGGCCTCTGAGGGTCTGTCGGGCCTGCCTTCACTTCGGGCGGCCGACGATGTTGCAAATAGCACCCAGTGGGGCTTATCGAGGCCTTGTGCCTCGCATAGTCTTCGTGTAGCCAAAAATGTCTTGTTGCGTCATGGCATTCACCTAAAAATAAACTACGCAAATTCTCTCTAGATGAAACTACTAACCTCTTAAACCCAACCTTCTCAAGAAAGAGCAACCCATCCACCATCACAAACTCATCAAATGTGGCCTTGTCTTGGGCCTCAAGTTTGCACAAGCGGTTAACAGGGACCCCCATTTTTCAGCCCTGGTTAACCCTCTCAACCCGGAAAAGCGCATTGGACGGTTTTTTTTTTTTTTTTTTTTTCTGATTTTTTTCTTTTGCCCTGTTTTATTTTTGGTCAAGGTCTGTGTGTGCCAAGTTTGGTGTTTGTTGGGGTCTTGGACTTGACTGTTTTGACTAGCCTGTCTCTCCAAGTTTGCGGATGATGTCCATCGTGACAGGGTCTTCCTCGTAGGCTTCCACCAAGGATCGAGATACATCGTCAGATAAGCCAAACTCCGTGATCAGCGCACCTAGGTAGTCCGCCCTACGTGACATCGCATCGGCAACCTTGTTATACTCCCCTTTCACATAGTCTAGTTTGAAGTCATACTGATCTATGACTTCAATCCAGCGTTTAAGTGCATCAGACAGAACTGGTTGTGGCTTGATCCACTTGAGTGTTTGATGGTCAGTCCTCAAGCAGAAGAACCTTCCCTACAAATAGTTTTCGTACTATAGTTTTGTCGAAATTGCGATAATAACCACACATTCCCAATAATGATCTGACCTCAGTCACAAACTGGGGTCATGGCCAGTCTCTTATGCTAGCCACCTTCGCATCTTCAGGCCTAATCCCTTTCATGGATACTTCATGACCCAACTACAAGGTTTTAGTGCGACCAAACTCGCATTTCTCTAAATTTATCTTATACTTGTGATGTCGGAGGAGAGAAAGCACTCTGTCTACATGTTGAGCATGCTCCTCGATAGTCCTACTGAAGATAAGAATGTCGTCGAGGTACACAACGATAAACTTATCCAAGTAGTCATGGAAGATCCTATTCATGGCGTGTTGGAATGTACTCGGCACATTGCAAAGGCCGAAAGGCATCACCACAAACTCGTATAGACCTGGTCTGAAATGCGGTTTTGCGTTGGTATTCCGGTCTAATGGCAATTTGATGGTAGTCGGACTTCAAGTGTATCTTGATAAAATACTTACATCCTTGCACCCTATCCAATAGGTCATTGATGCGCGGTAGGGGCTCTGTGTTCTTAACGGTGATGGCATTAAGGCCCCTATAATCAATGCACATCCTTAATGATCCCCCCTTCTTCGGGGCAAATAGAACTGGTGAGCCGAAGGGGTAGATGCTAGGCCGTATCCAACCCTTTTCTGTGAGCTCTTTCAGTTGCCCACGGATCTCATCCAACTCAGCCGGAACCATCCTATAGATTCTCCCTTTGGGTATCTTGCTCCCAGGGATGATCTCTATGGCATGGACAACCTCCCTGTCTACGACACTTGTGGGCTCCTCGAACAGATCAACGTACTTAGCGACGACACTCTCTATCTGTGGGGGTGATTTGATGGCCTTCCCTTTTGTAGAGACAAAGACCAGGTACATACCCTCCTCTTGGTTCTGTTTATAATAGTTATAGAAGGTTGATGCGCACAAGCACCTGTAGGAGTCAATTAACCTACTAGCCTTATACTTAGCTAGTCTAACGGTCCTCCCATTAGGCAACTCATGCTTTAGCACTTTCTTGTCCCAATCAAACTGGGGTTTGACAACCTCAAGGTAGTGCATACCTTTCCCTCCTACATAGGAGAATGTGCAGACCACGTCCTTGACGTAGTCCTCCACCATCATGCGCTCTTTGTTGGCCAAAGTAGATGCTACCAGTTTACTAAGGCGCTCCACCTGGTCCTGTAGGCACAGTCTATCAACACAGTCGCGACTTATAAAGTTTCGCGCGCAATGAAGGCACCGCACTTGCGGCCACCTACACCAACGTCCACAACGAAGTGCTCCCCTCTAGGACCTCGACTTAATGCCACCCAGGACTCACGAGGGTCCCTTGCCGACCACTCACTTTGTAGGTCCTCTAAGACCTCAGACACATCCAACGAAGAGAGTATCGTCGGGTCAAGATGCATCTTCGAGGTGACTAAGGAGTCAATAGCTTCGGCCAACTCTTGAAACAGGGAGGGTACATCACCCGCTTCAACATGAGTAGAAGCAGCTACAACTTCTACTGGCCCTATGTGTTTCCCGAGCTGGAGCTCGTAGAGGCCCCACCCTAGGAGAAGGGAATCCCACCCTTAGGTGGTATCTTCTACGAGACCTTCGCGTTCTTGCATTTAAACTGTTGATGGCCATACTTGCCGTAATTGATGCAAGCACCCCGCGAATAGCGTTCCCGCCACACATCTTGATCCAAACCTGCTCGAACCCAAGCCGCTATTTTGTTCGGGTTCGGGGTTTGTCCTTGACTCCTCTGTTGACCGCCCTTGCCGCGGCCACCTGCCTTTGCTTTTACTACTGCAGCAAGGTTGCTACCCTCAGCACTATCCTCGTTGTCTAACTCTGTACCGTCCACAAAGTCTAAGAAGTCTTCGATCTCGGTTTGAGTCCCATCGGCCTCAACCATCATCAATCGGCTTCCTTCTTCTTTCACTCTTGTGGACTCTTCTTCTTTATTTCGTCTGTAGGGACTTGTTGAGCACCTCCTAGCGTGGCCTCTAAATCTAAAGCCTTCTTGCTAAAGGTCTCAAAGGTGTGATACTCTAGCCGAGCTTCGCTGGCTAATAAGTTATTGATGTTTGTGGGAAGACACCTCAAGAACATGGTCAACAGGACCTGCGGATTATATTGTACGCCGGGGACGACAATCAAACACTCTACGACAGAGGTGATCTCGCACACGGACTTGTACTTTTTAGGATCAAGTTTCAGCAACCCATCAGTGGGAATTTGTGCTTGTTGTGGGTTGTGCCATCGCGCTTCCACGAAATCCATAAAGCTCTCTAGGGTATGGGTCTTCTTAGCCCAATCACCCATGTTCCTGTCGAATCCCTTTGAGGTAACTAATCAGTTTAACCAGCGAGTTGCCGATACTTCCAGATAGGATGCAGTAGTTATCACTTCCTCCTCTACCAACGTCCTCTTCGCCCTTACCCACACTGGCATCGTTCTCAACCAAGTGTCGAGAGCCCCATCCTTCTTATCTCCTGAGAAGGTTGCGGGTGGTTTCAATGGGGTTTCGGGGTACCAAGGTTGTTGCTGTCCCCCTGGTGGGGCACGTGCCGGCGGTGGGGCAGGTGTCGGCGGTGGACTAGAAGAAGTAAAAGCAACAGCCTGTGATGCTGCTGCTGCTGAAGTACCGCTTGGTGTGGTACCAGACTGAGGCGAATACAGGCATGTCATCGCCAAGAATGGCAGCGATGGCAAAACTGTTGGCCTGACTCCTGGCATGTGCATGGCAGTCAGGATCTGGTCTAGGGTGTCCTGGGAAGCGTCCAGTTTACTGTCCAGGTATGCGTGCATGGACAGGATGCTCGCCTTGAGAATCCTTGTGGTATGTCAAGTGTTGAGTCATCTAACCCCTCTAAAGCAGCTTTGTCTGCCTTACTACCCTCAAGTCTGACACTTTTATTCCTAATCTCATTTTCTCTTTCAGTAGCCTTTTTAAGTTCCTCCTCTAGCCTTAAGCGGATCCTCTCTACTTGTTGGAGCTCCATTTGCTCCCTGGTGCGTGGAGGCGGCGAGCTGAACTGCGGGCCCGCCATCTGACTAGTGCCAACTCCTGACGTACTGGAGATGGACTGCGAGTTGGTCTGTTGACCAGACGAGGTTGCTGCAGATGTTGCTGCAGAAGTAGCCATTGCTACTGCGCTAGCTTCTGCTGCCGCTAACGTCCTCTCTACAGTTGTAGTTGCTTCCCTGGCAATCTCAAGATTGTGGGCCCTTGCTTCGGCCCTTAGCCTTCTTTCTTCTCCTGGTAGCAGGACCTCGAACACTACAGGTACTCTAAGCGTATCACGCCTAGTCTGCCTTCTATCATCAATTGTATCTTCACCACCCTCTAATCCACTCATCGGCTAGGCAGACGCTGTTTGCACTAGTGTCCACTATAGAACCTACCGCAGCATGCGTCTGACCGGTTTATTTTTATTTTTATTTTTTTAAACAGGTCCTTATGGCCCTGGCTCCATTTCCAATCTGGGGAGCATCTGTCTGATTCCTATTCCACCAGCAAATCATAATTGCACCATGAAACACACTCACGCTTCCTTTCGTCTGGCCGAAGGAACCCTAACTAGCATTGATTACTCCCGCATCATGGAGGATTGATTGTCAGCTTGCCTTACCTTTCCTCTAAGGTCCACTGCGCAAACCTGTCGGATGACTAATAAAGAGCAAGAAAGGTAAGAGAAGCTACGAAAGTTACAGTCCCGGAATTTTCCCTTCAATATAATGTGACCTGTGATGGATCTTGTCCTTCTGCTGACTGGAATCTCTGTCTTCTCCACCCTGCTTCTGAGTTGTCCCAGTCTTTCCATCGTATGTGAAAGCAATTTATCTCTATCACTTTGCCCCTTGCAAGCCACACCTTAGTGAATTTTGCCTTGATTCTTCTTTGTTGCTCTTCATCATCTGGCATGGACTGTCTCGTCTTGTGCTATTTACAAAGGATCTCCGCCTGAATCAAAGTCCTTGTCGCTGCACATACCTTCTCCCTTGGAGTTGAGAGTCCCTCAATGGTTCTACAGCACCTTTCCTTCCAGATGGACCACAACATTACCTTTCTGATCATTCCAAACCACGTTTTCTCTGTCTTGTGGAATTGAGTTGGGATGTTAGGCCATAAAAGGAGTTGGATGGGGTGTTCGGGGAGGGGAGTCGAGAAGAGGGAGTCCCAGAGATCCGAGGTCGTCGCGTATCAGGCAATGTAGCATATCTTCTGGTTGATTTTCTGAACACACCGCGCACAAATCTGAACTGTTAGGGTCATTCTTGCTTCTTCAGATATGTAATAACTGGTTAATCGGTAGAGCTACGTATGAGATGATCCATCGGAGGCTGTTGATTTTGACTGGACGAATTGACTTGAAATTTTTCCATGGTATTTGTGGTATCTGATTAACCTCTTGACCTATTAACTTCTGCCATCTGTTCTTGATCGTTGGGTCAGGATCCTTTGTTTTGAGGAGTAAGTTGTATCTCAGTTTGACTGTGTATTCTTGAATGGAAACATTAGTTTTGAGGCTTTTGTTTCTGTCTGGTGTCCAAGCCCACTCCGCTGGATCAAATTCCAAGTCTTGAATCGTCGTATCCATTCTGAAGACTGTTTTTGGCCACGACCCCAACACTCTGACTTTTCTGAGTACAAAAGGGTTTAGGACTATTCTTTCCACCTCTTTATTCAGGATGGATGGAAGGCCTTGCGTGGAGGGGGTAATTGGGAAGGAGGTGAACATTGCCAGGGTATTCGACCCTTGCTGTTTATGGGAGAATTGATAGGCCCTTGTGGGGGTTAAATCCTGCACCCTCACTCCCCATTCACCCAATTTCCAAGTTGAGCCTTCGCTCAACGACTCCTTCCAGCCTTCTCGGATACAGTTGATAATGGATTGTAGATTCTCGTCTCGTCGGTGGCATCCTTTGAGTTGGGAGGCAAGTTCCTGTTCTGTCACCCAGTCCTTTTCCTCCTCGTTCCATAGATGGCTCACTTTCCAAACTCCATGTTTGATCCATGAAAGCCATCTCCTTCCTCTAGGCTTAAGGGATAGTTGGTGATCACTTTCGTCCCTCATCCACGGATTACCAAACAGGGGTTGCCTCAGTACCTCTTCTTTGGATTTGGGTCTACCCAAAACCCACTTTCCTTGGCATGACTTACCGCCATATCCGCAACAACGCAGTCCATAGGGTGTCTGGCTTCATTTGGATTGGTTCCTCTTCGTTGATTTTGCGCCCTGTGCTTGGACTCCATTCCTTGGTCATTACCCAAAACAGGCGGGACATATTTGCTGGTGTGGCTGTAGGTTCTAGGCCCCTGATGCTATCCAAGGCCAGTTTATTCCATGTCATACCAGGTTTAGTTAGTAGTTTAACTATCCATTTAACTTGTAAGGCTTTGGTTTCCTGTTTGGGGTCTATGATACCAAGACCTCCCTTGGCTGGTTTCCTTGTGATGTAATGCCACGCTATCTTTGGTATGCAGTTCTCTTTGTTGGGGTCACCTGACCACAAGTATGCTCTTGCTTTACGGTTAAGTTCCTTGATTGTATGGTCCGGAACTGTCCAGATTGACGCTATGTACCACATCATTGAAAAAATAGATGTGTTGATGGCTAATGCACGCCCCAACAATGATGTCAATGTATTACCCCATCTGCCCAGTTTCTTAATTTGTTTGGCTAGGATATTTTGGGCCATTTGAGGGGCAAAGCCATCCTTTGTCAGCCAGATGCCTAGATATCGTGTAGGTGTCTCCGGTGTCTCCCATGTCATGTCTGCCTCAGGGCCTTAACGTTGGGAAACCTCCTCCGATAGCCACCGGCCGATTGTTTTCTTCCAATTAATCTTCATTTTTTATGCCAGCCTGAATGCTTCCATTGCTCTTACTAACGCGTTGAACGACAAGTCTGAAGCTCTTATAAGGACCATGAGATCGTCTGCAAACATTATTACCATGGTTGTCAACCGGACGTCCGGATCGGGATCCAGACGGTCCGGATCCGGTGTCCGGTTTGAGGTGTTCGGTTGGACCCCATTTTGAGAAAATTCGAAAAAAAAACATTGGGGTCCCCAGGCAATTTTCCAGTGCCTGGTGGACCTCCGAAAATTATTGGTGCAGTTTTTGGTGGACCGTTGGGCCAACCGGACCGGCCCTGAAGGGCCTGTACTTGCAATCTTGGGTG